CTCCCCCTCCCCATCCCCATCCCCATCCCCAACCTCCTCCTCCCTGGGGACTATGTACGTAGAGAATGTAGTGTGAATTCGGGTGGAGGATTAGGTGGTGAAATACTCACGAGTTGTTGACGGAGTTTGGCTAACTTCGCTTTTAGCAGTCCAATGTGAAAATTGGTGGCTTTGTTCTTTTGGGTCCGAGCTATCTCCGCCTCAATCTCGGCGATTTTGGCTAAGGTGGTCATCCCAGATTAAAAAATTAAACTGGCATGGATGGTCCGGCATCCATCATAGGAAAGAAGCTCAAGTGCGGTGAATGTAGGCGACCACACTGTTTTGGATAGAGCATCCCGGATACCCCACCTCGTATACGCCACCTATCCCCGAATACCCTGCCCCAAGTACCTACCTACCCTACCCCGAATACGTACCCTACCTCGTCTATCTCGGACACATTACCCCGAATACATTACCCCGGATACATACCCATCCAATGCGTTTGGAATACACGATCGGAATATACAATTGAAATACACTAGTTGGCCGAAGGGCGAGTCTCCGGGATGATGGGTGGTCTATCTCCTTGTATGTGTTACTTTCTTTTGCCTTTTCAGATGCGTATATAGAGTTTCTGGCGTTGTTGGGTACCGGTGCCTCTGGTGCGGTATATCGAGTACGAAGGACGGTTTTGAACCCGGGCTTGGCGGCTCCCAAGGTGGACTTGTTGGCGGCGAAGGTGATAGACGTTCGCCAGTTGAATTTGTCGCATCGGTGGGATCGCGAGCGCGAGAAGTTGCGGCGAGAGGTGAAGATTTTGGCGACCATGTCCCACTCTGGAGTGGTGAACCTGCACGGCGTTATAGACACGAACGACTGGCTTGTTTTGTTGATGGATCTGGTGGAAGGCGGCGAACTGTTTACCAAGGTGGCCCGGGGTCCCATGCAGGAGGAGCGGGCCCGGTACGTCTTTATTCAGATAGCCACTACGCTCAAATTTCTGCACGGTGAAGGCATCATCCACCGAGACCTGAAGTTGGAGAATGTTCTCGTCGAAAAAGAAGTGACCTCGGAACCAGGTACCGTGGAACCAGGTACCGTGGAACCAGGTACCGTGGAACCAGGTACCCTGGAACCAGGTACCCTGGAACCAGGTAAACCGGAACCAGGTACCCTGGAACCAGGTAAACCGGAACCAAATGGAGCAGCGAGGGGTGGCTTCTATCAGGTGCGGGTGGCGGACTTCGGACTGAGTAAGGCCGTTGCCGGTGCCTTCACTGTGGCAAGGAGCTATGTGGGAACCCCGCAATATTGGGCGCCGGAAGTAATTTTGGCTGGTAGAAATCAAGGGTCATACTCATTTTCAGCAGACTTGTGGAGTCTGGGATGTCTGTTGTTCATTCTGGTTTCCGGTCGGTACCCGTTTGAGTGTGAGTATGATTGGGAAAATGATGTACTGAAAGGCAACTACACAATGGCTGACGAAGTTTTCGATACGGTTTCGGAAGGTTGCAAAGATATCATAAAGGGATTATTACGAGTGAAGCCGGAAGAACGAATGACTCTGGAGCAGGTAATGAAGACGGACTGGTTCAAGGCCCCCTGTCAGCCTCCGCTGCCCGAGTTGAAGCCCCTTCACCGAGCTCCGATCCACATGAATCTTGGCCCGCTCTTCATCGGAGCCAGCGCTCAGAGCATGGAGGTCGAAGAAATCCCTTCCATCCCGCCGGCGAGCGCCCCGGCGGCGCCAGCTGACCCGCAGACACCACTACCCCCGGCAGTCGCTACTGTTGGTACGTTGCCACTGGAGGCCATGACGGCCACTGAACGACGACAAGAACAGCGGAAAGAAGGTTATCGTGCGAGTGTACGACAGTTATTCAACGCTACAGAAATGCTGGAACTACTTGTCTCAGTTTTCTACCGGTTCCATCAAGCCTATATAGTCTTCCGCTCCAACCCACAAGTGGCCCTGCGCATCCAATCACTGCTGGTGGACATCAAGGAATTGACCCTGGCTACACGCAAGGCATTCCAGAGCATTGGACTTACCTGCGGTGCCGTAATCGAGCTCCTGGACGATATTCGACTGTGCGTTGAAGATGGCAAACCAGAGGCAGCCTTGGAGATGTTCGACAACCTTCAATCCTGGGTCCAGGAGGTCTTGGAAGAGGGTAATGAAGTACGTAAAAAATACTTAGTCGGCTTACAACATGCGTCAGCGCTTGTTCAAGCTACCCGTGACATGCCTGCTACTTTTACTGCCTTGTCGCCCATCCAAATGACGCTCGGTGAAAAAGCCGCTGTCGCGCTCGAGAGTCAGATCCAGAAAAGAGAGTTTTTGGATCAATCCGCCGAACCCCAGGACTTGCTCGACTTCTTATTCGTGCCCACTCAAGAAACGGGATTCAACGCTGTAGAAATCTCGTCTGCTGTTTCCATGGGCGATGGTACCGAGCGAACACCTGACCATACAAAACCGCCGACCGTCGCAGAAGTCATCGACGACCACGGCGCAAAGATAGCGCCCGTCGAACGTAAGGACGTGCCCGCCAAAGGCAAGTCTCACGACGAACACAACCCGAACGACTTGCCCGACAACCGCAACCAACAGCTTGACGCCGAGGCGAGAGAGGGCGAGGCGAGAGAGGGCGAGGCGAGAGAGGGCGAGGCGAGAGAGGGCGAGGCGAGAGATGATGACACGAGAGATGGTGACACGAGAGATGGTGACACGAGAGACGTCAATAAAGCATCCGGCCACGACAAACGAACGGGCGAGGAAAAGCGAACGAGTGAGGAACAGCGAACGAGTGAGGATAATCGGATGGGTGAGGATAAGCGGATGGGTGAGGACCTGCGGTCGAGTGTTGAGTGGCCGAACGACGAACAGCAGTTAGTGCCAGTGAGCAACTTGCAAGCAACTCCTCAGGGGTCAGGTACGACTGAGTCGTACGTGCGTCAGACGGCTTTGTTGATGCGGGGATTGCGGGAGTTACAAAGAGTCGCGAATATGTTGGAGGAGAGCACGACGTATTGGGACAATTTATCGGTGGCGCTGTCTTTAGTTCAAAAGTTTCGGGACCAAACTTTCGTGCTTTTAAAACACGCCTCAGGGAGCAAGCGGCAAGAACAACGCCTGCTCGAGCGTGTGGCAGAGTACGAGGCATTTTGGGAGGAGCTGGCTAAGCAAACCAGCACGTTTGTGGAAGGCTCCAGACGCAGTGGCGAGTCCATGCGGAAGTTTGTCAACACTTTCAACGAATCAATCGTAAGTCCCATTCGTGTGTGTCAATCAATTGTGTGTGTCAATCAATTGTGTGTGTCAATCAATTGTGTGTGTCAATCAATTGTGTGTGTCAATCAAATAGTGTGGGTTTTAGGTGCGAACGAACGCTTTGGCTGAGTACTACAACCAGCAGCGGCAGCAGGGACGGCAGTTACTGTGATGATTCACTTTCCTGGTCGTTCTGGTGCAGCACTGTGGCGAGTTTGGTCTCATCCCGTTTACTCGCGGCGTAACCAATGAGGCACGTGGCGATGCCCGAGATGGTCCCTGCTCTGCTCATGTCGAAGTTGCCAGTGCGGAAAACCGAGATCGTGAACATGAGGAGGAAGCTGAAGGCGGTGCAAATTGACTTGTACATTGTATCCGACTGCTGCAACAGCGACCACGTGGCATACACCCTAGTCATGTGCGTAATCATCTACGGAGGAGGTGGGATTAGACATACCCGAGAGAGGAGAAACCCGAAGAGGGGGGGGGAGCCCGAAGAGGGGGGGGAGCCCGAAGGGAGAGCCCGAAGGGAGAGCCCGAAGGGAGAGCCCGAAGGGGGGGGAAGCTCGAAAGAGAAAAACCCCGAAGAAGGGGAAGCCGGAAAGGGGATTACCGCTGTTTGCTTACATAGAAGAGGGTGAAGCCATTGGGCGCGAGGAGTGGTGTCTTGTTGACGATGAAGTAGGCGATTTCGCCAAGAGCAAGTCCGATGTTGGGACAGAGACAGGCGGCTAGTATTTGAGCGAACTGGAAGCTGAAGCGTTCGGGGTTGCGAGGGTGTCTTCTGGACTGGATAAAGGAGAGTGTGGTGGTAAGGAGCGTGATGCCAATGTCGAGGTACAAGAGTCCGTATCCGAGGGTAGCGAAGCCGACGCCGATAGAACTTCCGGCGATAGCGCTGTTTAGGAGATTGCTGACGAGAGAGGTCACCATGAGGCTCATGGATGCGAGGAAGAGCCACTGTGTGTGCGGGTGTGGATGTCCATTAATGAAGCAGTTGTAGATGGCGGCTAGAGGTAGTTTGTAGAGGCGAAGACTGCGCACGGCGTAAGAGTCTAGTACGACAGCGAGCATGTATTGGAGGTAGTCCTGCCAGCAGAAGGCGACGGCCACTAGTGAAAAGCGACGTATGTTTTGAAGGTTCAGTACGCAACCCCAGCTGGTGGTCCGTTTGGTCCAATTTCCGTACATCAAGACCAACAAGAGACTTAAGATATTCCCTATGGCTACATAGATGCGACTGCCAAGCTTGAAGTGTTTCAGACCAACCACCATGTACGCGCTTGGTCCCACCAGTGCTACATCCGCTGATGTCAGGATCATCTGTTCCGCAATGAAGCTCATAGCCAGCAGAAACGTGGTCATGATCAGCAAGAGAATCTGCAAACTACGTGTCTGGACTGCGTTCTTCAACTGCGCCGGAGAGTATGTCTGCACCGTTTCCACGCTCCAGATACTGCCCGCCAACATGGCACGTTGATGCTTTGGCAGCCCCACTGTGTTCCGCCAACGCGGGCCCGTGATAATTAACTCGTCCTCTACCATGTAGTTAGGGTACTTTTCTTTTCCCTGGTGAAACACATCGATGTGTGTTTGCTTGGCATAATCCGTCGATGATAGAAATGAGATCTCTTCCTCATCCATACCCACTCCTTCTGCCACACTACGCACAACCGAACCCATGACACCCTGCACCGCGTCCACCAAAATACTCGGACCCTCCTCGCTCAAACTCTCACTGTACAAGTGCTCATCAGTAGACGTCGAAATCACCAAACTGTCATCAGTAGGTCTCGAACCTGATAGCAATCGCTCGGTCTCTTCCTGTCGATCCGACATCGTTTCAACTTGTGCGCCCCGAGGTGTATCGCGCGAGATCCTGCACCACAGAACGAACACTCGGTAACCAAGACACACGTTCGGGTCACCACAACGAGCCGACAGCTACAACTAGCTGCTGCAACCAGCTGCTGCAACTGATAATCTATCTGCACAGGAAGAGAGCTACTTCCTATACGCTACGTTGCATACAAAAGAACTACGTGGCCCAAATAAAGGGCACAGCTGTTTCAATGATATTTCGGCAGTTTGTCGATAACGACTCGTCCGCTTGACGAATTGAGTCCAGCACATAAAGACCCTACGTGAATGACGAGATGAGTGGATCCGCTTAAATGGGCTCGGTCTTACGTCGAATTTAAGAATAGCTGTACAGCACATAGACATGCAGTGAGAGGCGCTGACTCGGTCGTCTTTGAAGCGTTGAGTGAGTACGTTGAAGTCTTCGTTTATTTTGTTGATAATGCCTTTAACATGTTCGATGAGTTCGGGATCGGGCTCAAATTGGTCCTTGGGCCAGAGGGTCTTGAGCTCTTGAAAGTAGGAGCTTATTTGATCCGCGAATTTCCTTTCTTTGTCTAGATCAAGTGGGCGAAAGTTAGCCTTCCGCGGTGCGTTTTTTCGGGTTGCGGCGAACGACTGCCCGGTACTAGCGTCTATAGTGGTCGGAAGGAGGCCCCGTTCCGGCTCTCGGTTGGCCCCCACGGCTGCTCGGTAGCGTTCTGTGGCCGCGTGCTCATCAGTGTCAAGATCTGCCAAACCGCAAATTCGGCGCCGGAGATCATTAACAGTCTCCCCGGACGTGGCGGTAGTTTCCTCCAAGCTTGTGCCCACGTCCGTGCTAAAGACCTCCTCTTCATAGCCCAGCTCCGCGGCCAAAGCGGCCTGTGTCCTCTGTAACAACTTTTTCTGCGTCCACTGTGACAAAATGATCACACCAACCAGAAATGCACCAACCCATAAGGCTATCCAATACCGCGCCACTACAAACACATCCAGCCATTACTCTGGGTTCTTACGCGTAGTACTTTCATATTCCATCGTCAAAAATAATGTTGTGGGTCGACAAATAGTATGGCACACCCCTCACAACCGCTCCCCCTCACAGCCGCTCCCCCTCACAGCCGCTCCACCATGCTCTCTCTCCACCGCCCTCATCACCGCTGTGAACTTACCCCCCCCCCCCCCCCTGCCTCCGTTTATCGTCCGTGATTTATGGTAGCCGCCCCAACAAGGTCGATGATATCGACCATCATGCCGATATCAAGGCCGTCTTAGGCACCGCGTTGAAGACGGGTCAGTTGCCAAATCTGCTTTTCTATGGTCCTGCAGGAACTGGGAAGACATCATTAATCTTGGCCTTTGCAAAGGAGTTGTACGGGGTGCATAACTACAGGAGTCGGGTGTTAGAGTTGAATGCATCTGACGAAAGAGGTATCGATGTTATACGTGATCGAGTGAAGCAGTTTGGCAAAATGGTTGTTGGTTCTGGCCGTGTATCCTGGAAGCTCATTATATTGGATGAAAGCGATATGTTAACGACGGATGCTCAGTCGGCTCTAAGACGAGTTATGGAAGACGCTAGTCGTTATACTCGATTTGTTTTGATTTGTAATTACCCGACCAAAATTATCGACCCTGTTGCCTCGCGTTGTGCCAAGTGCCGCTTTGAGGCCATCCCCCCTTCGATGCAGCTCCAACGACTCCGTTTCATATCTAACAACGAAGGCATAAACATTTCCCCACAGGCTCTCGAAGAAATTACCAAAATCACCAAAGGAGATTTGCGAATGTCCATCAACATTCTACAGTCATGCGCCTACCTTAGCAAAACCGATGCACCCATCCACATCAACCAGATCTGGGAACTGGCAGGCTTACCTTTGGATGATCAAGGCAATGCCATCATTTCCATCCTAACCGACGACGTCGAACAAAGTCTCAGCACCGTTATTGATGGCGGATGGAATGTTCAGGCCCTCTTTGAAAGCCTCGCTCTAGAACTCGCTACCACAACAAAATTAAGCCAGGCGGCCATCAGCATTCTTTTTCAAGAACTCGGTAAATAAAAACACACACTTTCACACACCCTGCGAGTGGTCCTGTTCATTTAACATTAATGTTTCAGGTCAATGCGAGAAGGCCTTGTGCCTTGGAGGTAATGAAAAATTACAGCTAAGACTATTGCTGTACCGAGCGTTCCACCTTAGGAAAGCAGGTCAGGAAGCTTCTGGCAAGAAATAGATTAGCAGTAGTCCCAGAAGTTCAACGTTCTCCGTCCTGTCGACGTTCTCCGTCCTGTCAACGTTCTCCGTCCTGTCGACGTTCTCCGTCCTGTCGACGTTCTCCGTCCTGTCGACGTTCTCCGTCCTGTCGACGTTCTCCGTCCTGTCGACGTTCTCCGTCCTGTCGACGTTCTTTTTAGAAGTTTTTCTTCGTGGCCGGTGTTGTTCTTCGTGGCCGGTGTTTCTGCACGCCGAAGGATGGCGTCGTAAGATGGAGTACACTGTGGTCCGATATCAGGTGAGGTCTGGTATCATGTGAGGTCGCCGGGAGGAGCTTGTCTGGTCCACCAGAACCAGGTGACTGCGGAGAAGAGCACGAGTAGGAAGATTACGACGAGTGCGCATAGGACGACTGTTTTGGGGGATATCCTATAACCGGAGGTAGCGCAGGGTTCTGTGTTGCATGGCATGGTCTCGAAGAGCTCTGGTTCGCAAAGGTCAGGTCCGTTTGCGAGTGTTCTCGTCCGTGTTTGTTTTCCACCTCCGCATTCTTGGTCGCAGTCGCCAAAATCGCTCCAGGATGTGTAGTGGCAGTCGTCAGGGTTGTTACAGTCGTTGGCGGTGCATTGGTCGGATTCAGTAATGGTTTGGCAGACGTCGGGATGGGCCACGGAATCGTCCACAGGTGTTTTGTGTCTGCTTGTCTCGCCAGTACCACATTGTACAGAGCAGTCGGTCCATGCCGACCACTGGCTATATTGGCAGCTTCCACAGGAGCGTGCGTCCACCGCGTACCGACCGGTCTGGCAGCTGCAGGTATAATTTTGTGGCTGGGCCAAACCGTCTTCGCAAACATCAGAACACTGGTTCAAAACGGGGTCTGCGCACTCGTCAATATCCACACAACAGTCCTTACAGCCCGTAGGTAACGCCTCCGCCGTCTCCATCAATTGATACCCCACAAAGCATCGACACCTGTAATTATACTCATTATAACCCACTTCGAACGAACACGTGCTGGTCCGTCGGTTACACGCCAACAACGCCGGATCACCACCAATGCCCTGGGTGCACGGATCACAGGGGTTCGGCTCACACGCGCGACTGCGCACGTCGGCCTCACACACCGCCTCCGGGTCCACCTTGACCACCGTACGGTTCGAATACTCTTTCTCCGCGTCGCACGGGCATCCACTCCACTCCCCCCATGCCCCGTATTCGCAAGACGCCGATGTACTCGACCACGTCGTCTCCGTCTCCGTCGTCGTGGTGCTGGTCGTCCCAGTGCTTTCCGTTTCAGTCATAGTCCCACTGGTCGTCGTCTCATCTCTCGGGCTTGCAGTGCTTGTCACCCCACGCGCTGCCGCATCTGCGACTGCCACCGCACGCGCGGCCGAGAGGTTTAAGGAATCGTAAAAAGGGCCTCCGCTACCAGGCGCCAACGCATCCTCCTCCAAGTACCCGTACATACTCGGTTTTCCGGCCAATTCTGCCCACACCGGGCCCAGTACTGGTCCGATAATCCACCTCATTCAGAAAATGTGCGAGACCCGCAATCACTTGACACAACGTTCTTTAACCAATTGTGGGCCACTCTAACCTGCTTCTGACGCAAATCCAAAGCCCAAATAGATACGGCTGCCTCCGTACGGAAGACTCGGCTGCCTGCGTCGACTGGTAACTCCGCTTGGTACCTCCGCTTGGTACCTCCGCTTAGTACCTTCGCTTGGTACCTCCGCTTGGTACCCCGGGAACTGGCAGTTCAGTTGGCTGCTGCGTTTTGTGCTCTGCGTCGACGCATTACGAGGTAGTTGACGATGGCGCTTAGGGACTTGAGGAGCAGACCGAAGCAGACGTATCCGACCATAAGGGTGGCGAGATCGACGGCGATGCCGAGGACAATGTGAAGCCACTTACGGACGCCGGTGAGTTTGCGGTCTTCGCTGTCCTCGAAGCCGAGTTGACGGGCGTTGTCAAGCATCCGCATAAACTTCTCCGTAAGGCGGTAGACGCGTTCCCGGTGCAACACTTCGTACAACTCACGCTCCGTCGGCGACATATCCTTCTGCCGCATCTGTTCGTAGTCCTCATACGCGCTCACAAACCGGTCCATCAATGTCCGAGCGCCGCCGATGTGTCGCGATACTGCCGCCTGTGCCGGCAGCACGGCCCGCGGCTCAACCTGCTGTCCATCAGCGGCCGCCTCAGGAGCTGTCTCGCCGGCCGTCTGGGCGGCCGTCCCGGAGACAACGGAAGCAGGGGTCGGTGTCGCCTCAGAGGCTGCGGTCGGGGCCGTCGCGCTTTTGGCGACGGTTGAGGGCGTCTCAGAGGTCTCGGAGTCCTCCTCCTGAGTCTGCGGCGCCGAAGTGTTCTCATGGGTCTCATCCGCTTCCCAATTCTCTCTCAGTACCTGTGCGGCTTGGTCAATCATCAATTCGTTTGGTGCCGGCGGCTGTGGCTCAATCAAAGAAGCCGGAAACTCAGTCGGATCCTCCTGCGTCTCCGCCACCTCAGGGTTCAACGGCGAAATGAGCTTTTCCTGAGCACTTTTCGACACGGGCTCCAAGAAGAGGTCCCCAACATCTTCTTTGAGTCCGATCGGCGCTTCCATAGCACTTGCAAGCAAGGTCTTGAATGGTACATTGTTGGAACCCGCAAATATAGCCCTCATCCGTTTAAAAAAAAAACCCGATCTGGGGGGGCATAAATTTTTCTGATGGAGAAAATTCAACAATGAAAATTAACGAGTCGAGGGTGGGACTTGAGGCGTGGGACTTGAAGGGTGGGAGGGACTTTGAAGGGTGGGAACAAGAGTGGCCGTTTGTTTAGTTGTTTGCGTTTTGTCTTGAGCACATGCCACCGCATTCATCTTGGGGCATGAGCGTTTCTATGAACACCTTTTTGGTCTTGTCGGTATGGCTGACGGCTAGTAGTGGTAGTACGGCTTTTTTGATGTTGCTCATGGTTGCTGGGTGTTCGAATTCCTGTGCGGCGAGCATATGCTTCATACGGAGACGTTCCTTGGGTGCTTTGAAACAGGCGGGACAGTTATCTGCGATGACGGGTAATTGGTGGTCGGCTGCGAAGGAAGCGAGGTCTCGTTCACGGACGAATACGAGAGGTCTGATGATTTGTATCTTGCATTCACCTTGTCCTGATTGTGGGTAGTCTTCATACTCTTTAACTATGGTCTGGTAGTTAGCCTTCATAGTATTAAGAGACCCGTTATAGAAAGCACTCATAAGGAAGCTTTCGGCAATGTCATCCAGATGCTGTCCCAACGCCAACTTGTTATACTTGTGCTGCCGCATACATGAGTATAGTATCCCACGTTTCATTCTTGCACAGAAAGCACATAATGAATCACCCTCCATCTTAAGCTTCGCCAAATCCATTATAGGGTAACTTAACAGATGATATTCTACACCTAAAGATGCCAAATACGGGACCAGCGGCGATGGGTCATATTCCAACGTCTGTGGATCCACAGTGGCCGCCGCCAATTCGAATTTTACCGGAGACCTTTTCTGCATATCCATCAACAGATGCAACATCGTCAACGAATCCTTACCGCCCGATAACCCTACCAAGATACGGTCGCCCGCCGCAATCATGTCGAACTGCCGTACCGCCTCGCCTACTTTCCGTCTTAAACTCCGCGGGAACACGACTACGCCGGGAGTCGGACCGGCCGCGCCCGCGTCCAGGTCGGAACGCGACGAGGAGCAGTCCTCCTCCTCCTCGGGCACATCTCCATCGCGACGGATCGCGTCGCTGATAATGGAGCCGTTGCTGACGAGCTCGGAGCCATGGCCCACGGAGGGCGAAACCTCCATTACCATGTCTGACTCGTCACCTGTTTCCTTCGGCATGGCTGACGGGTGTCTGATTGACTTCATCCAGTTCAGCAGTTCCGACGGCTCCAACGGCTTAGATGCATCCGCACTATGAGACGTAGCTGACAACCCTTCTCCAGCTGAAATAATACGGGCAGGGAACCGCTTCGCTTCGAACGGCGAATGTACTGGTCTCGTCGCCGGCTTCTCGCCAGTCCAAATCGGGTAGCCCAGATCTGAAGGTTTGGAGGCCACCGCCGGCTCACCCTCATTAGGTAGGTCTCCGCCGCATAAACCCATTGAGTATATTGCGTCGCCCGGAAGTGCGAACCACAACAAGTGTGCATACTCCGCCGGTAGCGGCGGACTATGTCCCTGACGGTTCTTGCTGAACAAACTACACGCACGCCCCGATTCCAAGGCCGTAATCAGATCGTGTGCTCGATCGTAGTACTCTTGCAACTCCCGAGGCGCCTCCTGCATCTCCGTACGCTCAATAGCTAAACGAATCTCGTCGCTCTCCAACATCACGTTCTCTTGGTCTTCCTCCTCGCCCTTCACTCCCGCCTTCTCGTCCTTTGCATTTGTAGTCTCGTCCTTAGCCGCCACAGTCTTACAACGAACATGCTCTGCGCTCTTCTCTTCGAAACTCCCGAGAGAGTTCTTGCTACCGCGTCGCTTACCTCCGGACCGAGCGCTGAAGCTTCCGTGCCGACTCCCGACGCCACTTCGCTCCTCAGGTACATTCTCGCCTTTGTCTTTGCTTTCTACGCTCTTGCTCTCTACGCTCTTGCTCTCTACGCTCTTGGTGTCCTCGTAATAGGAACTGCCGGCCTTGCAGCTGGAGCCCTTGAAGGACAAGTCTTTGAGCGAAGAGTCCTTGGACTGAATCGAGTCGCCTCTGGACAGTTTAGAGCCGAGCTTGGCTGAGGACCCCTTGGATCCTTTGGAGGAACCTGCGGAGTCGCGAGAAACGGTTTTGGAGCCCTTTGAGAGGGAGAGCGCTCCCACCTTGGACAGGACCGAATTGCCCACAGACAGCGAGGCCAGGTCTTTAGAAGAGGTACTCTGCTTCAGCGAGGACAAGGAGTCCCTTGAGGATTCCACGGCTCGAGGTTCTCCAGCACGGGACTCGGTGCGCGGCAGTGTCGACTTGAGCGCAGGCCGCGGAACCAGGTCCTCCTCTTCGCCCATCTTTGCCGAGCCCCGCCGCTTCACCGGAGTGGGGCCCTCTGACGCCTTCGCCATAAAGCCGTCCGTGAAAGTCTTCGCCCGCCCCGGAGGCGTCTTCTTCTCAAAGGCTGACGCCAGCGCCTTCACGCTCGGTGCCTTCCCACTACCCGCAGTTTGCTGTTCCAGCATCTTCCGAATCTCAGCCACAGATTTGGGCTTCGCTTCCTTTACTGGCTTCTGGGCCGCCGTCGCCTTTTGTTCAGCACCCGTCGCTTGGTTGGCCGCCTCTCGGTTCGCCGCCGCTTGATTGCAGGTTGTGCCTTCTCCGCCAGTACCTTCACAACCAGTACCTTCACAACCAGTACCTTCACAACCAGTACCTTCTCCACCACTCCCTTCTCCACCACTACCTTCACCTTCTCCGCCAGTCTTACTCGCCTCTTCCCTCTTCTCTGCGGCGGCACGCCGTCTGGCCAACACTTCTTTCATTGCGGTCATGGCTTCAGTCATACCAGGCATGGCTACAGCCCCGACGAGCTTTTTGGGGTCTTTGCGCTTGCCTTTTGTCTCAACTGGAATGTCTACTTTACCGTCATCCCACGCAACTCCTTTGTTAGATATTTGCACGTTGCTCAACCACTTTCGGTACTTGTCCGGCTTTACAACATTTTGAGTCCATTCACCAGTATCGGGTTTAAAGGTGTAGTATGGGAGCAGTTTCCAGCCGAACTTAGCCACCCAACTGACTGCATGTACAATGGTCTCGATTTCGTCAATCGTCATAGAGTAATGAACAGAAATTCTGGTAAATCCCGGTCTGAATATTTCGAGTCCTGATGACTCTAAACATCTCAAATACTCATCTACCAAACTTCCGTTGGATCCTGCATTGGATCCTGAGTTAACGTTCATGCCCAGAACTTCGTGTGAAAGAGGGCCAGCACAGGCGCAGCCCGGTCTTGCTTGTATACCAAAGACGTCATTGAGGACAGCACAGACGAAATTGTGATGAAGGTACAGACCTCCAGAACTCTGCATGTTTCCATAGGAGACGATTTCGCCGGCATGCTCCTCGTTGTCTACCGACTCTACAACTCTCGCATCAAGTCGCTGTCGTTCAAGATCGTTCCCGTATTTGATCATCAAGGAAATTACTGACTTGCGCGTGCCGTGGTAGTGTTCCTCGATGGTTTTGAGAGTTCTGCTGGCCGATTCCACACTGACGTTACCGGGAAATCTGGGTAATATAACCGGTCCTAATATCTGGATGCGTTTCTCTCTTTGCCATGCATTGAGGAGCATGTGCGCAAACTCAGATTCACGTGCCACCGTCAGTGGCAGCGGGACGAGGCTGGCTAGCTTGAAGACCATGCCAGTGCGGATGCAAGCCACGATGTTGGGCGTGCCTGCTTCCTCGCGTTCTTCTCGGTGGAGTGAGTAAAGCTGCGTTTCCTTAGAGACAAAGCGGACGACGCCGCCACCGACGGTGCCGGGTCGGTCGCCGCTGAGGAACCGTTTCTTCACACAAAGTACCCCGGCGGTCCCCGGGCCTCCGAGGAGCTTGTGAGGGGAGAGGAATGCGACGTCCACATGTTCCAGTGGCCCGGCATTGAGTCGAATGTCCGTATGGCCTAGTGCGCTGGCAAGATCCCAGACAGTGAACGCCAGGAAAGAGGACCAGTTTCGTGCAGTTTCGTGCACCAGCCTATTGGTCGGACTCACGGCGAGTTTGCAGCCAGTCACATTGCTACAGCCGTTGAGGATACAATAAACGTAAGTCTGACATACGTCCTTTTTATCTTCGCTGGCTTTGCCGAGTGCGTTCAGCTTGCGCTGTAGGTCGCCTAAATCCAGTATGGTGTCCTCGGTCCGGAGATACTCATAGCGGAAGTGTATCCAGCTTTGGCTCTTGCAGTCGTAGTAGTCCTCCAGTTCCTTGAACGGTAGGAAGGAAGAGTGGTGCAGAGTTGGGTCGATAAGGAACACGACCACACGTACTGACACAGTGCGTTGAGTTGCCGGCACAGCCGCACGACGGCGGTGCTCTTCCGAGTTGAGATGTGCCTTGGCAGCCGCTTCGCCGTCTAGTTGCAAATTGCAGGGTCGGCATAGAAACGTGTGCCACCGCGTTTCTGTCAACTCCTCTTCCAAGACCTTCCAGTGTTGCCTCTGCAGGATGCCAAGAAAGCTGGCAGCGGCGCCCGTAGCACCATTCCCCGTAAAAATGACAGCGTCTTCATGCGTACCGTGTAGATAGTTGCGGATGATTTCACGTGCTTCCTCGCGGAAGTAACTCGACTGCCGCGCAGTTGCTGATGACTTGCTATGGACGTTGCCGTACAACGGCAACACTTCGCTCTTCACGTACTCCTCAATCGGCTGCATCGCTCGCCCACTCGCCGTAAAGTCCGCGTAGATGCAACGACGCAACCCAAACGGAGTCTGCAACACATTCGACTCATACCCACCCACTATCTGCTCAGCCAGCGAACCACAAACCACCTCCAAATCCCGGCCCTGACTTATGCTCATATTTTTACCGCTTTTTCTCCCAGCCAGCTTACCGACAATGGAGCCTTCCAGACAGAAAGACACCGAAGGCAGCATCATTGGAGAAACACGGAAGGCGAAGGGAAACGCCGGCTGGTGAAAAGGCAACACGCACTCGTCCACGCGGGGCGGAAGGCACCCGCACGGCACCGCCGGGGACTTGCGATGGCTGGAGGTGGAGGGGGGTTGCCCGAAGGAAGGGCGGTTGTCGAAAGGAAGGGCGGTTGTCGAAAGGACGGGGGGTTCTCGGGAGGAAGCACATGCGCATCGCCAGCAACTAGCTAGGGACTAGCGGCTAACCAAGCAATAGCGACTGGATAAGGACCAGCGGCTCGCTAAGGGCCAGCGGCTAAGAGTGGATTAGCCACCTACGATTCACTTGCGGGAAGACGCTACCAGGGGCTGTGCCCGATATATGCATCGACTCCACACAAGCGGGCAGATCCTGCCGACCGGGTATTCATGACTTACTCGCCGCATCATTGCAGAACCAGTGGAGGTATGGCACTGCACCGACGAGGGCTGGCTGCCGGAGGTGTTGCGCTTCCAAAAGTGCGGGGTGTTAGCAGGCAAGGTTTGTTATCCAAATTTCGCTGGTAGCCCCCCGACTGTGCTGTGTATGTGATCTGCGTGGCGTGTAAGCGTCGTTTGACTTGTATAGGGTTTGATTGAGAGCCCCCATCGTGTCCGATTGGCGGCTCGTTAGCCGGAGCCCGTTGGTCGGAACCGGTCTGGCCGGACCGATTGACATTTTCGGCGCGAAGGTGTAATGTGAGCGCTGCGGGAACGTCGCTAAAACGCAGGTGGCCGGGCAGGAGAGGATTGCAACGGCCATGGCGTCTTGATGGCAATCGACCTAGTGACCAGACGCGGAGGGACATGACAAGTTCTTGTGGGGGAATTTTTTTTAGCAGGCTGTTTTCGGACATGCGTGGAGTTCAAGTGTATAGATGTTGTAGAGACTCGTTGCTGCTGACAGTAGTGATGCAGCGCATGGCGGGGGTAGTGTCGGAAGAGGTAGTCACTGCGGATGAGGCAAAGAATGTTGAGGAAGAGGCAAAGAGTGTAGTGGAAGAGGTAAAGGGGGAGACGGTGCAGCAGCGTAACCGGCGTTTGCTGATGGAGGCTCGTAAGTTGAAGGCGCAGCAGTTGATGGAGCGCGAGTCGCAGCGGCAGGCGGAAGAGAGTTTGCGTCGTGCGGCAGCGTTGAAGAAAGCTCGTGAGGAGCATCAGTTCAACTTTGAGCGTTTTGTGTTGAAGAAGAAGACGTACGAGGCGGAGCCTGACTCTGCGGCCGAGAAGTTGAGGAAGCGAGCGTTACGTTCTCCTGAGGACTTGAAGGCGTTACAAGAATGCGGGGCATTCGAGGCGTTGACGTTGTCTCAGTTGCGAGGCGCCGAGTTCATGGAGCGTCATGGTGATACGGCGGCAGTGAATGGTTTTATGCGTATGTATCGTAAGAACGCTGCCAACCTATGGAAGATTCCAGAGACGGAGGTGACTGGTGATATGATAGGGGAGATAGGAGCGTATTTCCGGGCCAAGGAAGCGGCGGATGAGGCATATCGTCGCGAACGTTATAACGATGCCTATCAGTTGCGCGATTGGCCTGGTGTTGGGTTTGATGGATACTCACAGCGCAAGCTTGAGGAACTTTGGTCTCTTTATGACACTCGCGGAAAGGTTCTACGTGACCGGTTGCCGGCCGATTGTGATGTGATTCATTTCGCAGGTGTTGGTGAAGTCGTTGTGCACGCCTCCGCTGCACCGCTTAGCACTGTCTTACAGGAACAATGGGCCACCAAGCGATGGGAATATCTCAACCCTTTGGATGCACGTATTGCAGTCGCTGATATCAGACGCACACAAGGTTCAGGTGCTATAACACAAATACTCAATATTATAGCAAAGATTATACAGTCTAAAGTCGAAGCTCGCTCTTCTGCTGAAGACGATTTTGACTATGCATTCCAACTCTCATATGTCTCACCCCATCATGGCACACTGGCAGAAATTGAGAGACGACAAATCAGAGCCATACAAAACGAATTCCTCCTAAGTCAAACTGGCGCTCGCTGCCACAATAACATATTACCTGACGCCCGTCTCCGATACAACCTCAGTAAGAGTGGTTTCGGAAGAAACTTCTTCCTCGAACTATCCCTCAACAACGGTATCAGCTACAAATCCATCAAGGAAATCGAAGACCCCTAATATAAGACCCCGCCGAACAGACCTCTGCACACACCTTTTTCTCGATCAATCACGCAACAAACACTCGCTCGGCCTCGATACCGTTGGGGGTTTAAACGGTTAGCGGTCTCAGAAAATGCGACACGGTAAAAAGGTGCCGGAGGAATCAGTGAGTAAATCATCCGTGCCGGACACACTCACCATCCACACTACCCACCGTCCAACTGACAAGACCTTCGTACAAGAAAAAGGCAGGGTGCATACAGAGCGGGGTGCGCACGAAGTGGGGGGTGCGCACGAAGTGGGGGGTGCGAATGAAGTGGGGGGTGCAGACGATCTTTGAGAAAACAGACTCCGCTGTCACACCGTGGCCTTGTGCACGACAGCCTTTTGGTCCGTTGTGTCACGGGTGGTGGCGTCTCTGGGGGGTGGGTAAGAAGCTTCAGCTTCCCCACCTACTTCTTGTTCTGCGACCTGACCTTCGTGGTCGGGTTGCAGATTCTCGTCTACTGTATGGCGTCCAGCCACTTCGGCAACAGCCATGTCTTTGGGTAAGTGTGTGGTCAGTTAGGACTCATGGTCAGTTAGGACTCATAGTCAGCAAGGGTGTGTGGTCAGCAAGGGCGCGCTTGAACTCGTATATTCTTCGTTCCTTCAGACTCGCTGCTGTTGCCATCCTCACAGCCGCCGTGCTAACGGCATACCGCATTGTGTATGCCGGTAGCCGGCTCGCGTCATGCCGTAGACGGGTGGACCGGCTGCGAAGCGGCTGCGCTCAGGCACAAGCCTGCAAGGGAAGTCCTCGGCAACCGGACGCAGGCGTAGACGTTCCGGCCTTGAGTGAGGGTCCTATGAGGATTTTTATGGGTGATTTCTCAAACATTCCCCCCTGGTGTTGTGGTCACATTTATCTGTCTCACATCTCCATTGCTACAACAGACATTGGTTGGTTCGGTTCACGGTTCGAAGGTGGGTGGCAGAAGAATGGTTGTGGGAGTATGTAGTGAGTTGCGAGGGAAGGGGCGGTGATGATTTAGCAATGTTTTCGTCGAGGTATCAGGCCGTGTCGTCCGTCATCAATAAAAATGGGTTCGCTCGGCTACAGCCGGGAAAGGGGCAGACCTGGTGGTGGGAGTGGAGAGTCTGACACCAGAGCGTCCCACCACGGTGGAGAGGTCTTGCCCTCCTCCGATGGAGAAGTTGGTAGGGTTTCTGAGGGTGGTACGGGAGGTGGTGAGCATGATAGTGATACGAGTGATAGTGCGTGTTCATGTGAGAGTTGTGATGCGTATCGCGAGCGGAAGGATAGGTTGCGGCCTGCAATGGCGGAGTATAAACGGATTGAGCGTGATGACAGTGGTGAAGAGGCATGGGAAAATGGTTGGCTCACTGAACGGTTTGGTAAGTACGGAATTATCGACTTGGCGGCGGATACTCAGAGCAAGTTGGCTGAGTATCAGGCCTGGCTTGCCGAGATTAAGGGCGTCATGTGGGAGAGTCTATCCAATTATGACGGCCGTCGTTTGTGGAGCGAATTTGTGGAACGGTACAACACCGCTACCATGCCCAGCAAGCGATACTATGAACTTGGCAACGCGCCTAAACCCGTCCAGCTAGCTGCAACCGACCACATAATTCTTGCCGACGAAAAAGTCCGCCGGCAAGAACTCAAGCAGGCACGGGAACAGGAGCAAAAAATGGAGGTCAAACGAGCCTTAGAACAAATGAAGCAAGATAGAGTAATAGCCGAGGAAATGCAAAAACAAAGAGATCTTAAAACCAAACTAAGGTTCCTGTTCAACACCGGAGATGTAGACGAAGCACGAGAACTCGCAGCCACTCTAAGACCCACAAATAATCCACCTCCACCACCTGACGATCTAGAGAGCATCTAAAACCATCAAGGTCTGGCTCACCCGTCCACCTACATGTACCTCTTGATCCAGCAGCGCCGGGCCCTGGCCCTGCCTGATCCGTGGCGCTGGCGCTGCCTGATCCATGGTGTTGGCCCTGCCTGACCCATGGTGCTGGCAGGAATGACATTCAAAATGGCTGCGTGTTCGACAAGCAAATACTTTTTACGAAGACTCTAGAGCCACTCGATTCACGGCTCCGGATGTGCATGCACTGAGGAAAGTAAATTTCTCTCTCAACTCGCGATGGCAGCCGCTCACTGACGACGGCCACTGCGTAACTACCTACTCAGCTAATTTGGAGGACCGCCATAAATCCCCGCACACGTGTGCGCAAAATTTCTGACAATCGATACGTGCGCGTAAATTGTCAATCCTCGCGCAAATAAGGTTGCCAAATAAGGTCGCCATGGAGTTATGCCTCAAAACCGAGTTTGCGGCAATTAGCGCGCAAATCCTCCACATCTTTCATGCTCTTTATAAACATTTCTTTTTCTTGACCGGCTAATTTAAGGTCAAGAACTTCCTCAACTCCATTGGAGCCTATAATGCAGGGGACTCCTCCGTAGGTGGCCTTCAAGCCATACTTGCCGTCGATGTAGGCGCAGCACGGAATGATCCTTCTTTCATTCCTGAGATATGCCTGAACCATAGAAAGAGCGCATACAGCAGGAGCAACGAACGCACTTCCCATTTTCAAGAGGGCGACGATTTCTCCGCCGCCTTGGCGAGTGCGTTCCACGATGTCATCCACCTGCTTCTGTGTTATCATTCCCATCTCAATAATTGTGAAGAGCGGGATGCCGTTGACCGATGTGGCCGAGAGCACGGGTACCATAGCATCACCGTGCCCCCCCAAAACCATTGTGTGCACGTCTTTCACAGAGACCTTCAGGGCCTCAGCCAAGAAGTAGCGGAACCGAGAGGAATCCAACAGGCCTGCCATGCCGACCACACGATTAGTGGGCAAGCCGGAGACCTTTTGCAACAAGGAAACCATCACATCTGAAAGAAGTCATGAACAAGTTTCCGCAGCGGTGGCTTCGAGCTGGCTGGCTGGCTGGCTGGCCTCCTCCTCCGATAAGTGTCCCTCTTGCGAGGGATTGTAGCTTGCTTTTGACTGAGCTTACCTAGAGGGTTGGTGATGCATATGACGAAGGCTTTAGGGCATTGCTTTCCTATGGCCCTTCCGACATTCGAAATGACTTCGGCATTTTTGCTCAGTAGGTCATCTCTAGACATCCCGGGTTTTCGGGGGAAGCCTGCGGTGACAATGACAATGTCCGCATCTTTAAGTCCCTCCGAGTTCTCGCTTAAGTCCGAGCAGCCGGTCGAAGTGCATTGAATGTCTTGGCAAGTCGTGGCCTGGGCCAAATCAAGAGCCTTACCCGCCGGCATACCTTCCACGACGTCGAGGAAAACAATGTTGTTCGACAGCGAAGACAACCCAGACAGTAGGCCCACCGTGCCGCCAATCATGCCGGAACCCACCAGTGCAATCTTCGGTGAAAATCGTGTAGCCATTGATTGTAGTGATCTAAAAATATTTTTGCAGGGCTGAATACAGGCTCCTAAAAAAGGCACTACGCTTTGTCTTTCCCGACCGCATACTCATTAACGATACAGCACCCGTCAATGGTGACGACATAGCGCCCGTTGACGACGTATTCTGCATTCGGCGGATGTATTCCAGACGTAGCAATTCTGCACACTCGTCCCCCAGCACTTCGGAATGCAGCACTTTATCCTCCACCTTTTTTGTAGCTTCGTCCCCCGTGCATTCCCCAGCAGCAGGTGCCTCCGCCAACCGGGAAGACCAGAACAACCGATCGCTGTATTGCTCCCAATGTTTCCCCGCGTCTCTGGGCACATTTACTTGAGATAATTCATCGCGGTTCTGCGCCAGCCATAACGCGCTCTCAAAAGATACGTCAATGGGACACGCAAGAACCGGGAACCGACTGCCCAGCAATAACTGACTGTACCTCCAAGCCGCACCAATCCGATTCACTTGTTCCACTCGGCCAACGAGCCGACCCAACTCCGAACTCCTTCCCTCCAACAACAAAAGTACCAAATACTTACACCATTGAGTATCACTCCATTGAGTGTTACTCCATTGAGTATCACTCCATTGAGCGTCACTCCATTGAGTTGCCCAAGAGCCCATCTCCTTGATAAGCAGCTCCCGTCTTTTATACTTGCACAACACGTCGTGCCAGCGACCCACTGGGAAGTGCTCTTGATTAAAAGACGCAATCAACACTTCCTTCTGGTCCAAATGCTCGTTGCCTGCCAGATAGTCCAAAATCGCCAAGTCCACCGGCTCCCTGCACTTGTCAATGCTGCTGATAGCCCGGCGAACGTCCACATCCGCGGCAATGGCCGCTTTGAGCAAGCTCGAATTATGATAGCGGATGAACAAGTCTACGCAATACTCACTCACAGCGCTCAGGTCGTCCCACAGGTCCGCTGAAGGGTACCATTCGTCGCTGTAGGCCGATACTAGACCGTTGTTCACGTACTTGCGGAACAACAGCAAATCAATGATCTCCTTAGTGCTTAAGTCATAAGGGTGACGACTATTTAGCTTTTGTATACACACCCACACTTCCAACGGGGTTCCCTCAACTTCGTTCAACAGTGCAACACCGGCTTGGGCTGCGACACCGGCTTGTGGTGCGACACCGGCTTGTGGTCCCACACCGGCTTGTGCTTCCACGGCCTCGTCGGTCTGAGTGGCGGTCGTAATCTCGACCTGCTCACGGGTGACCTGTTCGCACCCGCCAACCATCGTGTGTAGAGCTTTTGTGCAGTCCACCAGTTGGTTCCACGACTGACGGCCAGAGTCCTTCTCCGGCAGCTGTTCCATGGAGTGAGCAACCTTCTTCCACACCGGTTCCAGGTAGTCAATGACTATTGACTTATATAGGTTTAGAACAACCGGTTGAAACCACTCAGGCCCTTTTTCGGCAGTCGGTCCTCCCCCAACAGTCGCTCCTCCCCCAACAGTCGGTCCTCCCCCAACAGTCGGTCCTCCCCCAACAGTCGGTCCTCCCCCAACAGTCGGTCCTCCCCCAACCGTCGCTCCTCCCCCAACAGTCGGTCCTCCCCCAACAGTCGGTCCTCCGGCAGTCCCCCGTGTGTAGTTGTGCCAGTGAGCGAGAGCGATGCGCATGATTCGCAGCAGACAGGCGGCGGTCTTGGCTACAGTGCTGCTGGCGAAGCCACTTTTGTTATACAGATGCGAATATTCTTGAACTTCTGCTGCCATGAAAGGCAGAAGCGTCTGCAGCGCCACGACGGCGCCGATGGTGCTACCTACGATCCCGGATGACGCCACAGTTTCCACGACGTGCCTGAAACAGACATACGTATCGGCCATGAAATTGGGCCCCATTTTCAATGCCGATGCGGAACGCAGCATCTTCCCCATGCCCATAAACACATTCCACGTGTCCACAAAGGACCGCAGCGCCTGGTCCTGGTGTTCGGCCACCCGGTCGCACGGCAGGGTATGGTCGCAGTCGTCCGCTGGGTGGTCGAAGGCGCAGTATTGCAGGGCCAGGGGGAAGATCACATTGCGAACGAACGTGTGTAGGCTCTCATCCGACAGGCCGGCGACTGCGCCGGCGTCCTTGGAGTAGCAGAGCTTGAGCAGTTCCACCAGCGGCACGAATGCTCGTCGTAGTTGCCGTCGGGGACACACCAGTGCGCTCAGCTGGAAAAGCCGACCGATACGTTGGAGCCCGTCCTCCTCCCCGTCGCCCATCACCACACTATCCAAACAACCTTCCCACACGGCCGCCAAAACGTCCATTGGACAACTCTCCAACGCGCTCCGGTACAGCACCGGGTCTGAGGAAGGCAACGCGCCCACGTAAAAGTCCCGCAACGCTCGTGCACACTCCTGCTCCTTCCACCAGTCGTCCCCTGCCGACTCCGCCAACGACGGAGACGACCCACTTGCACTCACCACTCGCGGAATACGCACACCGTCCGGAGCACCCACCGACGGACCCGAACCACCGGCCTGCAGGTCAACCGTAGCGTCAGCCGAAGCTGGGGGTGTCATCGACGACGACGGTGGCGCCGCCGACGGCGACGGTGGCGGATTCAGATGCTGCATGAGGGCCGGGGAAACGGCGTCGAATGCCTGTGAGAGGACCGGGTCGACGTGCAGCGCCGGCTCCGGCACCAGGGAAACGGTGGGGAAGGCGGAGGGGCAGTGTCTATGGACGACGGAAAGCACTTCGCAGACAGAGTGAATTGCCTGGGGGTCCCGCTCGCCTGAAGTCTGCACCAGGATCTCCCTCAAAAACCGCTCCGGTCCGAAGGCCGACAAGCAAGCCTCGGGTTCCTCTTGCAACGCGCTGGACATGATGGACGTGATCTGTCGCCGCATGACTTCCCCATACACCGAGATATCGATATTGACCAACACACCCGCCACCAAAATGACCTGCGGTCGCAAACAAGCAGGTATATCGAGCAACGGTTTGTCAGTTGCCTGCGGGTGCGATATCCTCCATTGAGTGGATTGTTCATGAGGCTGCACCAACCATTCTGGGTACTCCACATACACCAGTTGATGGTTCACTATTCTACTCCCGGCTATTACATCCTCTCTTTCACCTCCGTCCGATGCGTCATAGGCAACTCCCTCGGATGCGCCGCACTCCGGCACGACGGTAGCATTTGTGTTCTCCGCCTCGCTCCTGGTCGCTTCGCTCCTGGTCGCTTCGCTCCTGGTCGCTTCGCTCCTGGTCGCTTCGCTCCTGGTCGCTTCGTTCATGGCCGGCTCACTAGTATACTCCTCGGTCGTAGAGAATTCCTCCTCAGTCGCGGAGGATTTCTTGGCGTACAGCTTGTCCAATAGTTGGATTAAATGCCTGATCCCAGCCAGCAGTTCTGACGCCACTAAGTGCCAGTCGTTGATACACCGCAGTAGCTTATCTAACAGGTACCTGCAAGATCGGGCATTGCACTGCTCGATGGACTCAATCCCCTTCAGTTTAGCGACCAGCTCTTCACAGCATGCTCTTCGCTTCACCGCACTCGTGTGCTCAAGCAGAGGAACATCGCTCAGTATCTTCGCCAAAATCGTCCGCACAGTCTTGGCAGGCTCACGCGCGGTGTCGGGGGCTGTGGGCAACCCCTGAACAAGCAACTCATCCGACGATAAACCCGGAAGCCAGCCACCGGCGTCTCCCATTATTTAAAAAAATTGTCCCGGCTGGCAGCACCACACCTCGGCTGGTTCTTCGTAGCCATCTGCGACTCCATCAAACCGGCCTCGAAAGGTGGCTATCCGTGGGTAGCTGCTGATCTTTCGGTTGCAAGTTTTTTGAGTCAATCGACTGTTGTGGGGGGCGACTGTTGGGGGGGGCGACTGTTGGCGGGGATCAACTGTGGATGGATAGATTGAGGATCAAGGTCACGGCGGTCGCAGCTTTGGGAGGCGGCGAGATCCTGGAGGAAAAGGTGGATTTTGGTTCTTAACATGTCTTGGTGTTTAAGGTTCTTCGATTCCGAACAGAACTTCATCAATGGACTGTGGCTGGAGCACTTCTCTCCTCTGATCGGCGGAGGGACGGAAGGAACATCTGAGGAAACGTCTAGCTTCGTAAGCAACCTCGCCTTGATGACCTTGCCGGCCTCAGAAGCCCGCACTCGATCACAATCCCCAAGATGAAGTTTATCATCCTTAGTACAAAGACTTCGTTCTGCGAACGAACATTCCATTGAGCGAGCAGCTGGACCAACCGACTCCAACATAATGTTTATTTGAATAGGATTAGTAGCTAGTTGGCGCAAGTCGACTTTTTTGATCAGCGACTTCAGTAGAATATTCTCTTCCAGCATCTCCTGCAGATCTTCATCATGCCCGCTTCTTCGAAGGCGTAGTTGAGCTGAACACATGTCCAACTGCCACCGTAAGGTTTCAATCTCCTTTAGTAGTGATCTATGCCTCCGCAGTTCCTGTAGAAAGTCCCTAAATAAACTACTGCCTCTGACTGCAATCACGTGATCACCAAGTCTGAGCTCATGAACGGCTGAATTTAGGTCAACCGGATGGTCAACCGGATGGTCAACCGGATTGTTTAAGCCGCGTCCTGCATTTAAATCATCGACCGGATCTACGCCCCGAACAAGCCTCAGATCCTCAATCGATTGTATAACCAGAGTGTTCTTCCCAATCAGCAATATTGCAGACTCCACTAGGATCAGTTCTACCTCATTGTCTCCACAGGTTCCGGAGAGTCGTTTCATGCAGGCGCACCATGGTCAGAACGTGCGGAATCGTCTGCTTGGCGGTCAAAGATCCGTTCAGTATCGTAAACACAGTGTACAGAAGAGGACAGCCCGGGGGAACTTGATCTTTCGGGAGCTTGCGTGGTTGGAGTCACGGTTTAGAGTCAGGGTTCAGAGTCAGGGTTCAGAGTCAGGGTTAAATTAATAAGTGTAAAAATTGATATGCATTACCTACCGGCGGTTATATTGGCTGCTATAGCGTATGGAGGGCCTGGACGCCGTTTCCTGAGAAGCTTTGATACGTTTGAGTATGCAACCAAAATTGATTGTTCTACTGCGGTGTCGATATCTCTAACGGAAGCGGACGGCGAAACTTGTGTGAGTAATTGTGTAAATAGCAAGTCCTGCTCCCAGGTGGGGTCTGGAGGTGCTGAAGGCTTCAATGTAGGGAACTGGAGACGCTGCCTGCTGGATCTGGGTCAGTATTGCGCTTTCTCACCAGAAATTTACTACGGCCAGCCTGTGGTGCAATCCAAGCGATATACTGCAACCAACAATAACATCACTATAGCCACCATAACCAAACAAGGTACGGGCATATCGGCTTCCTTCCGCTGGAGGGTCCCTGACAATCTAGTTGACGAGTGCTCGAAGAGGCTATACTCAATGACGTGCTCAAAGAATCCGGATCAGACGGATCTGTCTCCTCTCGTCGTACATGACTGGAAGAACCTCTCCTACCTATTCATAAAGACCGAACCCGTTGAAACCCTCTGTGCTTCTCCCTGGTCGATTCTGGACTCAACTTATGACAACGAAAGCAGTACATCCTGCTTCATATTCCCCGATCTTGAACCGTACGTAACCTTGATCCACCCCCTATTTATAGGCCTGCCACTCCCTATAGGCGTACCCCCTCTTCTGACCTTCCATTCACGCCTCCCACCATCGGACCCTCCCACTATCGGACCCTCCCATCATCGGATTATCGGAACCTGTAACGTGGTTTTAGGCTTCAAGCATTCGGACAGATGTACAAGACTCCACACCAGATAGTGGGCATGCGCAAAACAAAGTTACTGCTCGATCTCGATTCAAGAGGCGAGTACTACATCGGAGCGACTCCTTTGGACGGCTATGATTCTTGACCGCAACGAGATGAGCTTTCACTGGAACTCCGAATGGGAGCAACTCCACAGGTTTTTGTTGGGCGGCAGGATTGGTTGGCTGGCTGGCTGGCTGGCTAAAACGTGCGGCTGGCTGAGATGTGTCCTTCCCCTCTCATTTTTGTTCAAGTTGACTCGGCTCTCTCTCTCCTCACTGGACAGAACATAGCCATTCGATTTGTCAGTCGTGATGACCTCGCTTCGTCAGTCGTGCACCGTAACGTGAAACACAACCCGATCGCCGGCATCGACACGCTACAAGGTAGAAATGTGTAAAGGAGGCGTGCGTGGTTGAGGCGTGCATGGGTGAGGTGTGCATGGTTTAGTTCCTGTGCTTACGGTGAAGTCTCCAGTAGCTTGCAGGACGAGTACTCCGGGCTCGGCAGAAACGACTTGTATGCTGGTAAATTCGATGGGCTCTCTATCATGATGCCAGGCTTCGACGAACAAGTGGTCCAGTCCCAGATTAGGCTTGGGCACAGCCGCAAGGTCTGGCAATAATATTCGCAGTCGGTCGTTTTCTTTACTCAGCAGCTGCGACTGAACCATGACGCTCCCGGTCGTGGGCCACAGGTGGAAACGGCAGTCCGCTTGACCCGCCATTTCACCCGCCAGGGTGCCCAACACGAGACCTTCGGTAATGCCATTACCGCCCAATCGATTCGCGCCATGGAGACCACCCGAAGCTTCACCCGCAACAAACATGTTAGGGACGACGACCTTGTTGCCCTGCTGTGCCCTGCACGTATCGTCAATCAACATGCCGCCCAGACTATAGTGCAACGAGGGCGTGATAAACGCAACATGCAGGGCCTCCTTCGTTCCGGCGCCCTCGATTGCCGCCGCCTTGATCCCTTCCGTTGCCTGCTTGGTCCCTTCCGTTGCCTCCTTGGTCCCTTCCGCCGCCTTCTCAGTCCCTTCTGTTGCCTCCTTGGTCCCTTCTGTTGCCTCCTTGGTCCCTTCCGTTGCCTCCTTGGTCCCCTCCTTCGCGACTTTTTTCTCTAGGCTGCTCTTGCAGAATTGCTCTGTCAAGACCTCGTGTTCGAAGGTCTGCACTACTGCCCCGAAATCGGCAGCCGTGTTGATGGTGTGGATGAAGCCTCTTCTCTTGTAAAATTCAAAGGCAGCAATTCCGAAGCGTTCTGCTATATCGTCGTCGAATACCAGGAGGGCCAGGCTCTGCTCCTTCTCCAATTGGTCCAGCTGGTCAGATGTCGGTAGTCGGTCAAGGTGGTCAGTGGACTGATCTGTGGTTTTTCGCAGCCCCCATTCGGACTCCAGACCGCCATGTTCGATAATAGCAGCAGTCACTTTATCTCGTGTTTCCAGCTCGTCGACAAATCTTAGTCCCTTTGAGTTGAGGAGGATGGCACCCAGACTGCGAAAAACTTCTGGGCAAAGGAACTTGGTAGATTTTCTGACGTCCTTGAGGTCGACGAAGCCGGTGGGATGAAGTTGGACTTTGTCAAGTTCGTAGGGGGTGAGTCCGTTCTTGATCAAAATTCTATGTAAGTCCCCGGAGGACGTCGGGTTATTGGTAGTGGGGTAGCTAACCAAGTCAGGTCTGAGTACGGAGAGGAAGCTGTCTGAGCCCGAGTCACCGGCGTAGCCACCGCTGGCGACGACCACCGACTTGACTGGAATAGTGGACAGGTGTCCTTCGAGGTCTTTGACTTGGACGTAGTCCGCCAATTTGTACTGTCGGCTGCTCATTTGATGAGTGGAGCCGGCGGGAACGGTGAGGGATTTGAAGCCGATGTCGACAACCTCGGTCTTCTCCATAATCACCAGTTGAGGGTTCTGAGCGGCCGCCTTTTGACGTAAAGTTCCTGCGAGCGGCAACATAACGTTGAGACCAAATGGCTTGGGGTCTGTCCGGGATGGAGGGAATCGATGTGTGCGACGCACGCTGTGTCCACCCAAAGCGTTTACGTCGGTTATGCCGAGGTCGAGACGGCTTGCCAGGTGGTTGATGGCGGCACCGCTTCGGCTACTCAAGACGTGGGCCAGAGTGGGAACAGATGACCCTTTTCCGCTCCTCAAAATGTCGTCGACGAACTGGTCTGAGGAGTCGGGAATAGAAAGATCTTCTTGGAACCGTGTCGCCGCCGCATTTACACCGCTGGTCGCTTTCTGGGAATTCCCACCAAGCCGTGCCTTCTCAATGAGCACCACGCGGACACTGGACTCCCCACCGGACTCCGGCACCACGGGACTGGTCCCCCGCGGCGTCGCAGCATCCGCAGCGTGCTGCTCAAGCAACTGCAGCGCCGCTGCAAGACCTGCCGCGCCGCCTCCAATAACTACAACCGTGTCCCGCATTTCTTCCGATTTACTAAATAACCCTGCTCTTTTTGCCGCATACGCGGTCGCCAGCACCAGCGCTGTAATCATCCAGAACCAGGGGAAGCGCCACCGACGGCGGTCGTTGCCTGAAGTGAACATTATTATACATATAATTGAAATTACTGGGAAAGGATTGCAACCTGCACCTTTTAAAATGCACGGAGAAACATGTAGATGTAATGAAGAACCCAGCGACTCTGCAAGAGGCGGTGCTTGGCTCTACACTCATATTAGCTCAGTCGAGGTAACGCAACCACACGACCATTCTACGCAACTCTCCGCGCTATGCAAGTGCAACACTTACTTGGATGGCAACAGCCATGTCAACGGGAGGGAGCAGCCAGTTCATCCACCAATATGGGTCACAGTGTGTCCAGTCACTCACCGCATCGTGAAAACACATGGTGAGCATCTTGTAGTGGTTCGGAGTGGAAACGGAAGACGAAAAGATTCTGCGCGAGGTGGTGATGCGTGACCATAGCGAACGCTTCAACACAGAAAATGTCGTTGTAAGCTTCGACGCTGATGACGACGATTGCCATGAAGGGTCTAATGCATCGGAAGTGTTGCTCAGCGTTCATTTCACCAATCCGGTTAAGCTCCACTCCATCGTGGTTTTATGTACGGACGACAACAGCGTTCCTGATAGTATGAGGCTGTTCAGCGAACAACCTCACCTCGATCTAAGTACCGCCGATGATACCAAGCCTCTCCAGGAACTGACGGTTGCTTATGACCCCTGTGGAGTGCTAGAACACCCCGTTAAATTGACCAGGTTCAATGATATCACTTCTTTACAGATTCACTTCGTCAAAAAGACCCCTCACATTTCTTTACGGTATATCGGCATCAAGGGCGAAGCCACTAAACATCAACGGAGAGCTGTGGCTACCGTCTACGAAAGCAAGCCCAATATTGCAGACCATCAAGTAGACAACGTGAATTTAGGACGGATGGGTTTGTAATTGCTCAGTAACCGTGCGTGCCAATTGCCGCGAACTAGTGTCCAGCGGAAGTCTGTCAAAATTGTAGCCGTCCTGGAGTCCGCAAGGTTTCATGCCATGACTGCAGTCTGCTTCCTGTTAGTTTCGTCCACTGTAGTCCAGGTGGTTAGGATATACGGCTTTCACCCGTACGACCCGGGTTCGAGTCCCGGCAGTGGATAATTATCACGCATTAAATCGCCCGGCAAAGGCCGCGAAAAGGCTACCGAGTTCATGACGGGGGTTCAATGAACATGGTATTTAATGCATCAATAGCCGAGACAAGATAGCGCTCTAGTACATGCTGCTCCACGCCTGCCGTATACGAGTTTGGCTGCTGGAAAAGCGGGACACCACGACGTGAAAACAAATAGAAAGTGAAACGCTCGGACGGAAGTGACGGGGGAAGTGGAAACACCGAATCTTTCAGAGGACTTGCACCCTCACCGATGATACCCAGAGCGCAGCCCTCGTTTAGAGTGCTAGTACAACTTGCGCTAAGACCTAGGGGGGCTTGTACGCGAATGTTGACAACCCACCGCGCCACCCCGACCAGTGGCACCGCTCGCAGCCCTCTGTGCTTCACAGCAGTGCCGAATCGGCTGGGTGGTCCAGAAAGACTTCGTTCTCGGTCAACTCTTTCAGTCCACCGACCAGTTCGTCTTAGGATACAGCACGCACTCCCTCAACCCCGCCGTTAAGCGCACGGACATAGGGCCTGTTGATCGCACGGACATAGGACCTGTTAATCGTTGGTGTTAATAAACGGGGCTCACGGCGTCGTTTTTGTTGTTCCGCTCACCGCGCGACATGAGGTACCGCAACCAAACACGGCAGGTAGGTACGGCATCACACAAGCCTCCAGCCTGACAACCACGTTGTGTCCATGTATTCCACGAATAGGACCAGGCTATAGACAGGGACGTTTACTGAGTCTGAGAACACACTGCGCGTGACTCCCCAAAATCGGTTCAAGGACTCAGGAAGCCGAGCCCGAAGCCAAATGTGGGTGCTCCCATTGTGGTTTGGGGCATTGGTCTCAGAGCATCCCCACCAAGCTGTTCTGTCTCGGGTCCAATTTCGGCTAGGAGGAGGCGCTCGGTGTGGATGCTAGTGGGAGGAGTCGACTGATTGAGACGATATGATGTTTGAAGGCGACATCCTGAAGCCTGCGTTATTCCTGGGAGCGATTACTGCATGCTGCAAAAACGAGTTGTTGATTGCGCTCGAGGCGAATTTGACGTACATCGCAACCGCCGGGGGCATTGCAGGGGCTGGTCAAATGGAGACGATCGTCCGGTTCGAGAACCGATACCTGTGGAGTGGGTTTAGCTATAGTCGGGACCTCGTCTTCACAATGGATGAGCCGACAGCACAACAACTCATCCATCGATGTAAAACCATGAAGGAAGAAACGCCCCATTTGGGCCTGCGATCTATGTAAGACTGCAGCACCCCCCCAACACCGGTAGGACCTGGTGCCGGTACGCCAAGGATCTGGTGCCGGTACGACCAAGGACCTGGTGCTGGTACGCCAAGGACCTGGAGCCGGCACACCAAGAACCTGGTGCCGGTATATCTGAGGAGCGAATTGTATTTTAGTGATGGTATATGTGTGTTGGAGTTTCTAGTGTCTTCGGATGGAGGCTACCTATCGTCCTGTACTAGGTACCAGGTCTCAATTCTGGACGACCCGCCCGACTACCGGTTCCCGGAGCCACATTTGCGGCGAGTTACGGCCGAGTGGGAACAAAGTATGCACAAGTACAACTGGTTGAGTGCCGTGGCTTCCCTGTCTGCGGAAGTAACCCTCGTCCTTGAGGTGCACCGAGCAGGCTTGAACACGTTACGTCAGCAGTGTTCGACCACGGGGTCTTTGATAATGCTGTTGGAATGCGTGGACCAAATCTCGTCCGTTCGATTGGAATCGAATAACACCCGTATTTCAATCGACAGCTTCCAAGCTCTGGCTAACCAGGTTGAGGATGACGGAGCCGACGAAGTGGCTCACAGATGGACTGTTAAACTCAAGGCAAAAGAGCTTTTGGCTGCCTTAAAGATACTCATAGATCGCGCTGGCTCCAAGGACAAACTACTTCGGTCCTGGCTCGTTGACGGTCAATACTTGCTTCTATCTACTGACCTCGTCACCAACTTCGATGAAGCACAGTTCTGCACCATCATCACCAGGCTCTGGGCATGTGAACCGCCGCCATGGGACGAAGTAGCTGACCCCTGATGTGGCAACCTGATAGTGCTGTGGTACGATAGTGCTATAGTACGATAGTACTACCACAGGCACCTGACGATATCGCCATCATCACCCTCTATGCAGCGTTATTCACTTTTTTTGCAGCTTTTTTTTTCTGACCGAAAATTATTCTGTGCTCCGAAAACTATGGTGGGTAGAACTATGGTGGGCACACTGTAGCAGATGAAGGTTGTAACAAAAGAGGGAAAGATTAGTTTGTCATGGCGGCTTCTTTGAGTGCTTGTGAGTCCTTGACGGCCTGTGCGACAATAGCCTTGGTCTTGTCGGTGATGGTGCGTTTGACCCTCTTCTCCTTGATGCGGAGCATGTTTACAAGGTGGTCGGACTTGGCGAGGTTTTTTCTAACTCCAGTCATGTGTTTATCTTGGGCCTGTCGCATGCGCTGCAGGTAGAACCGTTCCTCTCTGCGTCTCTTTATCCTTTCAATCATGGTCATTGCCTGGATAGTTTTGACATATATCTCTCGATTATACTTCACAGGAGCGTTTCGTCGCTTCTCAAAATTGAATATGCTGTCGTACAACATCTCCTTACCGGCCGTCTTACGATGCGCCTTCGTCCACTTCGACTTCCGGGGACTATGTCGTGCAGAGAAGTGCCTCTTGCACTTCGACTGACAAAAAACAAATTCGCTTCCATCATTCCTCACAAACTTCATACCATGACCTACAAACATCTCTAAATGCACACACTCCACAATGAATGCCGAGTCCACCCAACTCGGCAGTCCAACTCGGCCGGGACCAACACGGCAGTCCAACTCGGGCGGGACCAACTCGGCAGTCCAACTCGGGCGGGACCAACTCGGCAGTCCAACTCGGCGGACCAACTCGGCAGTCCAACTCGGGGCGGGGACCAACTCGGCAGTCCAA